GCTAAGAGATTAAAAAGTAACAGCACATTTTCGGTTGCTGAAAATGCAATTTGAAGTTGTTCTTCATTATTTATTTATAACTGGCTTTGCTGTAGCTGGTTTAGTGCTACATAATCCCTGCCCACAACTTGAAGCAACAGAATATTGAATGTGTATAGCAGAAACTTTATTTTGGAAACGTAAATTTGAAATTAGCTGATTATTATTATTAATGATATGGACCATGGTTTCAATGTGTAAAAGAGCTGCATATTTCATTAACCAATAATAAGTGCTATAAACAATAAGTGTAGATAGAAGTGTAGAACCGCGCCAATGAGTTTGAAATGTGCCCCTAAATTGCGGCAACCCAAAGCGCACCTTAGATTTATTTGGTATTTTAATTATAAACACAGATAATTAGCAGAATTCCACGTCTAATATAATGAAATAAACAAATTAAAAATTCCGCAAAGTTTTGAATTTATTATTATCCTTGTTGCTACATACCTTCAAATTGTATGTTTAAGTGTTTAATGTTTAAATCTATGTAAACACTGAAGCAAATTCAAAAATTTCCAAATATAAAGTTGATGCTTTAAAATGATCTACCAAATTAACACTACTCACTATTATGAAATATCTGTAATTAGTTTTTATGAGTGCAAACACAATAGAGCAAAACAAGTATGTTTGATTGAAGAAAATCGTTGTTTGTTTACATCTGTCGTTCTTCCGCGCTAAACTGTCAAATTTCGATCTGGTGACTTATATTATTAGGGACTTGACACTTTGTGCATTACCAACAATGTAACCAGAATATTGCCAATTTGTTCAATGAAATAAAACTATTTAGGTTGGCAGCCACGCTGACCTAGTTTTGCGGCAGCCATTCATAAATTCCCCTAGGCAGACAAAATTCCAAGAACTCTTACTATGTTTTTACTATGGAATGCGGAAATGTCTGGGTTTATACGCTAAATGGAAATATTGATATATACAGCGTTTTTGAATATTTTTTAAATGTTTAAAGGCTAGTATCAATGTAAAATTAAAGAATACATCTATTTTATTCAAAATTTTATATTTGATGTAATTTTTAATACTGAAATTGTACAAATTAGTTTTTAAAAATTCATAAAAAAAATAACTAAGTAGTTTTTAGCTAAAAATAGTTTTTAATATGAATTAGGGATTCTTTGTGAACGTACTGATGATTTTTGGAATAAAATTTAAACCTCAAAGTTAATGAAAAAAAACTTTGACTTCAAGGTGATTTTTAACTAATTTAAACAAACGTTACAATTATTTGTTAAACATTTGTAGACTCCTAATTAAGCACGTTATTTTTTGTTTTTTAAATTGATATAAATGGATAATAGGTTTATGAGTTACAGCCCATTAAAGTTAACATTAATATAAAGAAATTTTCCGGGTGCAGGCAAAATTCAAATATAAAAAAAGAGACTAAATTTAACAAAATTATTTATACTATCAAGTAAAGCATTTATTAAAGTATCTTTACTCAACATCTTGAGTAGGTATACTTTGGCATGATTATGTACGAGGGTTGTAAGTTTAACCCCTAGTTCAACCAATTGTTTAAAAGAAAATTTAAATGGTATACGTGGTTTTATAGGTAATTTAATATAATATTTATCACAATGTAAATCATTTTAATATCTTTATCAGTATTCCCGTATTTATAAGAAGAATCTCGGAAAATCTAAAAATTCTAAAATAACATCTTTTTTTATTGCTTTTTAATGATTATTATTTATATTATGGTGGGTAAATATAATATTTTCTTTATTGTGAGCTAAATATATAAATTATTAATAAATTTTAGTAATTTTTAGCTTTTGACGTGATAACGTCTTTAAAATCGTTTTACGGGTGACCTGTTCAGAAACTGTGTCACGAGCGAGGTCGATCGCAGGTATACCCCCCTCTCGTTATAACGAGAGAGAGACGGACCGATCTCCCGTCTCATCTCGAGCGCTGCCAGTCATTCCGACCCCCCTCTCGTTATAACCAGAGAGAGACGGACCGATCTCCCGTCTCATCTCGAGCGCTGCCAGTCATTCCGTGCCAGTCATAGCGTTCGAGTGAGTTGACCGATCTTCCGTCTCTCTCACTCTAGCGGCATACAAACGAATGGAGATTTTCTCGTGCGGTTAAGTTTTCGTTGAATGTTTTATCGGCCGATAAAAAGTTTGTAGTGTGCGGGGAGCCTAACAGTAAAACAAAATGTGAAGTGCAAGTGAAGTGTTACAACAATTGCAACAAACAAAACTTATATCACCAATAAGACGTTATCACGTAAACATCTCGATCGTAAACCTACTTTACAAACAACCATTTTTATTTAATATAAAACACCAATTAAAAAAAATACAACTAAAAATATTTATTACATCCGATAATAAATTTAAACACGAAATACTACACCCCGGATTTTAATTATTAAATTGCATAAGTATTTATGAATTATTTTATTACTTATACAGATAACTTGTTGATGCATTCGGTGTCACGGAAACGCACCATATAAATTTTCAACATTTAAACAAAAAAGATTAATCTCAGGAGTATAAATACAACACAAATTGTTCTGAAGGTTCACAGTTTTGTCTGCACCCAACAACACCAACAACAATACCAACAATGAAGTTCGCTATTCTTGCTTTAGTCATTGCCATGGTTGCCCTTTCCGAAGGGTACTTCGGAGGAAGTATTGCTATTGGTTATCCAGGTTATGGTTATCCTCTTTATCCTTATCGCAAAAACGACGCCAGCTCCACCTATGATTACACCAACTCAAATGGCGATCAATGCGTATGCACGGCTCCTGTTGTTGTTCCTGCACCGGAACCTGCTACAATGGGTAACTATTTTATTAAGTAGAACTTAATTAAGTGAAATAACGTTTTATATTTGTGTTTTAGGATGCATGGATAATGACCCGCGTATGGTGGCATATGAATAAGCGTCGAGATATCGTTGATAAACAAATAATGTTGTATTATGATATATTTTCTGAGAGTATATAAAAAATACTCCTAAAAGTATATTTTTTATGTTTATGTTAATTTAAAGCAATCCAGCAACTTTTTTCTTAAAAGAAAGCAAATCTTCATTACATAAAAATTAATATTTCTAATTAATTTTGATTTAATTAGTATTCGGCTGGTATAATCACTTTTTTTTATATTTATTTATTTAATCAATTTTATCCTTTTTTTTTTGGTTTTGGGAGTAAAGCATGTATCAACTTTAGTTTATTTCGAAAGAAAAATGGAATAAAACAGAATTTCAATGCAAATATTTTTTTAGAATTTATTTTAAGCCTGTTCAAGACAAGTTTTGTTAAAAAATTCGAAATTATCATAATTAATATAATTTTTATTCATTTAACAAAAACACACGCTTTTAGTGGCTGTGATACAACATCTGCACTCTTTCATCAAGGAAAATTAAAGTGTATTAATGTACTCCGCAAAAATCCAGATTTAAACGAAGTTATCCAGGTATTTAAAAACCCAAAGGCTGGTACAGATATCATTGCTACAGCTGGCAAATTCTTCCTTCTTAAATTATACAGTTACAGTGATGTGAAAACTATGCAAAATATGTCTTCAAACATCTATAGATATGCCAGCTTCTCAAATCAGCATACAAAAATAAATTTAATATTGCATCGCTACCACCAACTGAAGCAGCAGCCCGACAACATTCGTTCAGAACTCATCACCAAGTTAACTAGTATGGGAATGAACTAAATGCAGAACAATGGGGATGGAAAAGAAACAAGAATGGGCTTATTCCTGTCACCACACTTGAGCCCCCAGCTCCCGAAACATTGTTAAAACTAATATCTTGCAAATGCAAAAAGGGATGTCAGAAAGCCTGCGGCTGCAGAAAGGCTGGATTGAAGTGCTCCGTTATCTGTACAAATTGCAGTGGTACCTGTGATAATTCGCAAGTTCCATCACAAGATAGCGATGAAGAGGAAGATACGATTACCGTTTTCGAGCACACGTACGATGAACTCGAGAACCAAGATAGCATTGAAAACGATAATCCCATCGCGGATAGTATGGCAGAAAAGTTTACCTGTGATATTTCGATCGGTCCTGAATACAATTAACGCACCACACCTGGTCCATCGCGAATCTGAAGATAATCCATTAAATTTTGGAATAGTGCGTGTGGATTAGGCCTACTGGAAATACCACGATAAAAAAACAAGCGCGCCACGTACTCTACCTCATGGTAATATGGAAATGAGTTTCTGTCAAAAACGAATGTTGAAGTAGACTTTGCGGCGCCCGTACGTTAAAACTATTAATTTTACAAGAAAAAGGTACTTACATAAATTATAGGAAATTTTCTCTAGTTTAATTTATTATATAGATATATTTATCGTAAAATGAGTCGGAAAGGAGATATGGTTAAAAAACTGTTTTTTGACACCATTTTTTCAAGATGGTGGCGTGAGCGCACAAGATACGAGGTGGCAAAGTTTAAATTCGTAAAGAGCACCTCGAAATCTATATGAATACCAATTTTCAACAATCCCGCACTATTTTCTAGGCAAAACTACCAAATGACTGGGCTAAAATTCATTACATAAAAATAAATTATTATACAATATACATTTTAAAATTTACTTTTCTTACATTTTGCAATAAATTTAAATTGAAATTAATTAAATATTTGTTATCAATTTAACACTAAGTTTATTCCGTTTATAATGATGCGTTTTATTTCCTTTGTAGTGAATTTTAATCATCCGTTCAATATTACCAATCCGCACAATTGATTTTAATCTATGCATCATTAGTACAACACAAGATAAACGTCGAGAATAAATTCAAAATAAAATGTGAAACCAATTCTCAGTTCTATCTGCATCCATCCACAACACTAACAACAACAACAACAACAATGAAGTTCGCTATTATTGCTTTAGTCGTCGCCATGGTTTCTCTTTCCGAAGGATATCTCGGCTTTGGTCTTGATTACCCAGGTTATGGAGGTTATCCAGGAGTTTTTCGCAAGAGTGTTCCTAATGTCGCCAGTGCCACCTACGAGTATACTAATTCCAATGGAGATGAATGCGAGTGTAAAGTACCTGTACTTGAAGCGGCTCCGCCGGGTAACAGACTTAATAATATTAAAGTAAAATTTTCGATTAAGTCTTAAAAATGTTGTTTTTTTATTTTGTAGAGTGTGGTGAGCAGGGCACTATGCGTGTGGCGAGAGATAATCCCAGGTCAAATACTCATGAGGAACCCGAGGTGGTTCCGCATTAATATTGACCACAAGTTTTATGAGTTACGCAAATATTTTCTGCAAAAAAAATCTTTAAAAATTGATCTAATGCAGAAGAAAACTTTATTTTTATTTCAATTCTTTTTCTTTGTAGAAATCTTCTTTATCAAAACAAAATAAGTTGATTTACAGAAAACTGTGAAAATTATTATAGTTTTCTGTAATTTTAGCAAAAACTCTTCACACTGCTTTATAAACTTCAGAAAAATATCTAAAGATGTCACTAATACTTTCACTTGAACTTCCTACACTGCAGTATAAGCTTTGGATTAATATCTGAAGAGGTCACTAGTCCTTTCACTTGATAAATATTTCATTCATCGCTCAATGCGTTTACGTTTACAAATTTCGTGCGGAAAGCGAAAACTCTCCCGACTCCCGAATGTTTCTATTTACAAAACGATGTAAAAATAGCCCACCAGTTACATGCCCCGTACTCTTCCTCACCACGTTCCGCGCCACGCACGCGAAAAGAGACTTTGAAAAGTCGTTTCAAGTCGTTCGCCGATATTCAATAAACAGAAATCCCGACGCGCGCGGTTAAATTTATTCGCGTGTTGTTTTCCTCTACCAAACACATTACGAAATTATCTAAATGTAATAAAATAAATGCAAATAAAACATTTAAAATAAAGCTAAAACATAAAATAATCAATGATTAAACGAATAACCGAATAAAATCAAAGATTCCAAACGGAAATCTCAAAAAGTTTAAACGTGTACAAGAAATACACCAACGGAAATTGTATAAAACTCAAGTGGAAGTTACCGAGTTAAAGTTGGTATTAAACTGAAAGTTAAAGGTGCCAAAGTTAGAAAGCAAAGTTTAACGGATTGTGAGTTGTGGAATTGAGGGAATCGCCCCGGAAATGTCGCGTTCGGCGAGTTATTACTACGATCCGGAAATGCAGGCTGCGAGTAAGCCGAGCGCCTGCGGCACCTGTCTGCGCTACACCTGGAAAACCATCACGTTTCTATTTTCGCACATTACACTGGTCTCGATGGTCGTCAGCTATTGCATTCTTGGCGCTGTCACCTTCCAACACCTCGAGGCCGAGAACGAAATCGAAGTACATCCACACCAACTACTTACACCATCAAAAATTCACTCGTTTTATTTAAGGTAAAGAAAAATATCAGTAAAATCCGATTTAACATCACCGACGAGTTGTGGAAGTTGACCACGACAGGTTCATACTATCTAAAAGAGGACGAGTTCACCAAATCTGTCACTGTGCGTTTAAAAGACTTCGAAACGGCTTTACTGAAAGCCATCACCAAAGATGGCTGGGACGGCGATGAAGACACCAAGAATGTTCAATGGAGTCTTGCTGGGGCTTTGTTTTATTCTATTATTGTCATCACGACAATCGGTAAGTTTATATAAACTAACAATAAATTATTTACATGATAAATCTTAGATACTTTGGTTTTAAAATGTGTTTTAAACAATTAAACATCCCTTTTGTCTTTTTTACTGTTTTTTTCATCATCCTCGCTGTCATTTTGGGCTGAGCGACCAAATAAACCTATACCAGCTGGTGGACGGTTAAAACCACCTTGTCCGCCATATGGGCGGTCATAGGGACCTCCAGGTCCAACTAAAACACCATTTGAAGACCCATACAAGGGTCTTACTCCTCCAGGTCTTCCTATAATACCTGTAGGACCTCCTGGTCCTACCAAAACACCCTGTGGTCTTCCTGGTCTTGAATTGTACCCGGGACGATAATTAGGACGGTTGTAATCCAAACGGTCATAGTCTGGTCGTCCGCCATATTGACCATAACCTATATCACCTCCATTTGATGGTCCTACTAAGACACCATTAGCTGGGGATTGAATTGGTCGTGATGGTGAGGGTCCTATATCAACTTGACCGTGTTTATTGTAACAACAATAAGATTTACCAACGTCACAATGTCCCTAATGGATATAAAATGAGGTTATGTTCATTTTTTAAATAAAAGACTTACATATGATAATCCAGGGCTTTGACAGTTGAATTTTTCTGTACATGAGCAAGTATCGAATCTTTTGAAAGGCGGACGTCCTCCCAATCCATTAAAACCAGGATCCACGTTTTGATTAGGATAATAACCGCCTGGTCCTCCTAAATTTCCTCCGAATGGAGGTCTCTGTGGTCCTGGACCTCCAAAAGGTGGTCTGTAATTGGGCCGATTACCCGGATAATTCTGATGTGGGCGTTGTGGACGGTCATAGTCAAAATCACCGCCTTCCGGTTCGAAAATTTCATATCTCGGCGATCCTTTCAAATCATCCGCATCTCTTAACTTAGCATTTCGTGAATTTTTCTCCCAAACCCATTTTTTATCTTCGCACAAAACCGATGTACAAATCAACACAATAATCAAACCTGCACAATAAACACAATTAACACAAATGGAACGCAATGGAAATAAAAATACAACCAACCTTTATCAAACATTGTTGTGAATTTAAACGTAGCACGATATTATATCATTCCGTGCACTAACGCGGCCGAATTTAAACTGACGAATTAATTTTGATTACGTTCACTTCCACTGCTTTGGTCGGATTTTTGTGTTTTGTGATTTGGAAATAATTTAAGCGGTTTTACGATTTGTTGTACGAGTAGGTCGTTATGTCGATGACGGTTTTCCTTTCGAGCGCACTTTGGTGAAGTATACCGCACGGACGTCAATTACATAATACGAATCGATGTCACAATAACAAGATATATATACTCGTACCTTCCACACTCTTCGCATGATTCTTATTCTCCACTTACCTCCACTTCAACAGTTAATATCTTATTAACTTTTTAAAATGCATTCTCACCTTACAACCGTATTCTGTTAATTAAACTGTGTAAGTTAAACTGTGGAGTTAAATTGATCATGTGTTACAATTACACTTACGTAAAATTGGTTTATTTTCGTTTGGAAATTCCCTAAATTACTCGAATGTTACATCAACATACAGATTATACAGATTATTACAGAAGGAAGAAGTGGTTTGTATTAATTTATTACTGTGCAAATTTTGTCTGCACAAGGTCATCATTCTTCATTCTGTTCACGTTTTGAGAGTCTTAAGTAGGTCAAGTTTATACATATACATGGATCATACCAATTTTACAACGGCTTACAAAACACATTGTAATGCAGCCGAGAGGCGAAATTGAAAGCGAAAGTTATCAGAATATAAAACGTCTGCGCGTCTTAAGCAAGATGTAGAGTTGTTGTGGACTTTCCAAACCTTCTCATTCCATTTCCATATGATTATTGAACCTACACATTTTATGCTGGTTATTAATTTAGTTAAACAGCTTCCGAATTTTAGTATTATTTTGTGTATGTGTTGAATTTCTGTTTAGTGTAACATCTGTCTGTTTTGTATCATGTTCCACATGAGTGCATTATTGCATTACGAGTTACGCACATAATTTAATTAATTTTTATATAAGGCCAGTGTGAAAAACAAAACAAAACAGACTAGTCAGAAGTCCAAATATAAAAAGATGTTGGTTATGTTTTGAAAGCACTTTCACTGATCACAATTAGTTTTTATCAACAACACTTGGTTTAAAAACAAATAAATGCTTCAAAATTAATTAATTTGCTAATTACTTAATTAACTCTTTAATTTTTGTATTTATTTTATGTATTTTTGAGGTAAAATCTTTAAAAACAAAAATTTTTGAGTTTTTTTCATGTTTTACTTTAAATTTGCATCATTTATTATACTTTTAAAGTTTACAACTCTTCACGGTTACTTCCTATTCAATTAGTCTATTCCCCATACAAAAGTCACTTCCAATGACCCTCTATTATTATTACAATTTTGCGGAACTTGTTTGCAGAATTATAAATGGCTAGCACTTAAAAATCTTGCGAATCTTGCAAGGTTACGCTGCAATAACCTTACATCATTAGGCTTTGTGTAAATAATACGCGGGCCAATGTTACGTTAGCAATGTGTCATTGAACTAAGCTTTAATTAAACGACGATGACGCATTTTTAGTGCGGTCAAATAAGCTAGAAATCATGATAAAAGTTGCAAGACGTTTGCTGGTTGCGCAATTCTGCGCCGCGGAAAGAAGGCATTAATCAATCGGAAAAGTTTTAATTGCGTTTAATTGTAAAGCCATTAATTTCGAACTGTTCGAACGTGCTTGCCAGTAAGAAATTGGAGGAAAATAACGAAAAACTAGCAGCGAACGCGTGAAACTTGCTAGTTTTTTCAAGTTAAACTGTGTGTTTTATGTACTTTACAGATTGCTTGAATTTATTTAAGAGTTTGAACTTTGAGAGCGTGTTCTTTCATAACTTACAATGTGAGACAAATCAGACAAATTTTGAATGAAACTTAGTGTAATTGTGTATAATATTCATGCTGCTTTTGAGAAATTGGATTATTTATTTGCGAACAGAAAAAGAAAGAAATTTTTTTGTTTGAGTTTAAAATATTTTGAACCAAATGTTTTTTATTTTTAAATTCTCTATAAATTTGACATTATTAATAATAATTTTATAATTTAATGGCTACAAATACTAAATTAGTTGTTAATTAAAATGTTTTTTAAATCAACTTAGTATCTCTACTACTTTTCTGTAAATTCAATTCAAAGAACTCAACGATTTTAAACTATGCACGTTCATTCTTACTAAACCTTTTTGGCAGTCAGCCATTTTGTTTCTATGACCTCTATTTAATTAAAATGAATTACAACTAAAACTACAACTAATAATAGATGATTTATGACACTTACAACTTCTCTGGAATGATTTGTTTACCCGCAATTAATTTTTTAATTGTAAAATTTTTGTATTTTTTAATATTTGCAGGTTATGGTCATATTGCACCAAAAACCGATTGGGGCAAAGTAGTTACCATATTCTATGCTATTCTGGGCATACCATTAATGCTTCTATGTCTCTCAAATATTGGCGATATCATGGCAACTTCATTTCGTTTTCTGTATTGGAAAGTATGTTGCTACGTTTGCACCAGGAAACCTAAGAAAAACCGAGGGAGAGGAAGATCTACACGGGGTACCATCAGAGGTCAACAAGGGTATACCCCTAGAAATATATTTAGATGTAAAAATAACTAAAAATTGTTTATTTTTGTGCCTTTTTAGAAACAGATCAAACAGATCCAGAAATACATCAATAAAACGTGGCCGTACCTCCACACGTTCCGCAGATAGTGCATTTGCATCATCCTACTCAGAATCAGAACTGCGATATCATAACGACATGCATATGAACCATTACAAACGTGGTCAAAGCCTACCACGAATGAGAACTGCCACCCAAGATGATGAATTCTCCAACTTTCGACCTAATCTAGGTAGAGATCGTTCCGCAGCCAGAATGGAAGCAATCCAAGCTCGAGGTGGTTCCTTAGACAGACGTAGACCACGCCAAAACCTGGTAGACCCATCTGTAATGTCCAGTATAAAAATAGTCACTAATAGATATGTTGTGGATGAAGGTGAGCTCCAAGGACAATTACCAGGTTTGACTTTTGAAGAAAGAAGACCAAAAATTGTTGAACCCCGAGGACGAAGAGGAAATATAGCTGGATCTAATATTAATAACCCTAGCCCAGGAGGTACCATTGATAGAACAGAAAGAAGAAGCTTAAAACATCCTCCTGGGAGACAAGGCAGAAGTGAAGATAGGTCACCAAGAAGAAGATATCAAGATGATTATGATTCGGATGATGATGACGATGTACAAATGAATAATGATTTGAGGAGTGCTTCTATGCCACCGCAAAGACATCAGAATACTTTGGAGGTACCCCGAGAGGGATCACCAGCTGGTAGTTCTATTAATGATGAACATCGTCAAAGGAGAAGAAAACGTAATAATTATAAATTTAAACAAAAAAGTTTAAAATAATTAATTTTTATTTAAATTTATTTCTTAGAAAACATACAAGGTCCAAGGATAATGTCCCCGTTAGGTTATCGCCATACCACGAAATATCTAGACAACGAATCTGATTTGGATTACTTTGATGATGACAATGGAATGGATCAGAGGAGTCATACCAAACCTGTACCAATTTGGTTGTGTGTATTTTTAGTAGTAAGCTATATATTTGCTGGTACGTTCCTGTTCAGTTACTGGGAGGAATGGGAATATCTCGATGCAGCGTATTTTTGTTTTATTACGTTGACCACGATTGGGTTTGGGGATTTTGTGCCTGCTAAACGGGTTAAAAATGAAGAATTTAAGAAAAATATTGCGTTTTGCTCGCTGTATTTGCTTTTTGGTATTGCTTTACTAGCTATGAGTTTTAATTTGGTTCAAGAGGAGGTTATTGCTAATGTTAAGCGGGTTGCCAAGACTTTGGGGATTATTAAGAGTGAAGAAGATGAAGATGAAGACGATGACTAGAAAAAGAATTTCAAAAATTTTTTGAACTTGAATAACTTTTGAACCAAGAGAGATACAAAGATGAACCAAATTAGAGATTATTTATTATTTATTCATATATATCATACCATGGTAAAAAATTAGTTTTAGAAAAATTTTACATAAATATTTGCGTTGAAAGTAAAAATTTCAAGTTTTTCATCAATTTTCAAAAAAATCAAAAACTTTAAATTCAAATATCTTTGGATTTGAAAAAGATAAAAACTTGAATTAAATTGCAAAATAATCCTAGATTGCCATACTTTTATCTTCAATATTTACAATCCTTTGATAGTCCTTAATTATCCTGGAATTTACAATTTAAATTTAGTTACTAATAAAAACTGTAAAAAATCAAAAACTTTAAATTCAAATATCTTTGGATTCGTAAAAGATAAAAACTTGAATTAAATTGCAAAATAATCCTAGATAACTATACTTTTACCCTTAATATTTATAATCCTTTGATAGTCCTTAATTACCCTGGAATTTACAATTTAAATTTAGCAACTAATAAAAACTGTAAAAAATCAAATAAAACACACTTGTAAAGGCATACAATATAAAAAATAAATTATGTATCCTTTCACAGGACCTCCCCGTTGAAGGACTGCCACGGTCTGTGGTCGTTCCCGTTGATCGGTGATTAATAATCGTGATTAATGGCCTTTGATGTGCACGCCATCATCGTAAACAAACGTTAGTCGGCTGTATCGTCCTGCAACACAGCCTTCTACCGCGTATCCTGCCAGGACATCAATTCATTGCGATACATCTCACAGAACACAGGCGCGTCGAATAGGTCGCACAAATATTCGATTTTGAATAATCGAACATCGAACATCGAACATACTCATTGCAGTAGTTCAATCTGCACACACATCGGAGGGTGAAACAAGAGGGGCGGTGGGTGATGGGGGTGTGAGTGCCCATTTACCACTTAGTGTCGTCCCGAGTGCGCATCGAAACGTCGAAAACGAACGTGTTCGCGTGTCGGCCGGTGATGATGATATATTCGTCGATGCGCTGCCGCCGCCCTTGCCGCCGAAAGGATAATAAGGATAACGAGCGTAACGAATGTAATTAGCGTTTCACCTACGCTCGCAGCAAGGGCGAGCTGGAGTTTTGACAAAGGGGGGAATTTGATGAAAAATGCGGAAAATTTTTAAAAGGATGTTGCGCCTAAACGGATCGGGCGAAATTATTAATTGAGGCTTGTAATGAAACGTAATTAAACAGTGTTTAATTTGGTTTTTTGTTTTGGTTTATACATTAATTATTATTTGTTTTACAGGGTGTTAAAGTTGCAGATGAAACAAAATTTAATAAAAAAGTTTTTTAAACTTATTTTCTTGTTTACTCTTGAACAAATAAAGATATTTATTTCAAAGCAACTGTAGTTGAAAGAAAATTAAATATACTTTAATAATAATTTTAGTACAAATATGTATCACTAATATTTTCCAACTTATAGAGCTTTAAAACAACAAAATCAAAATTTTTACCCAAAAAATCACAAAAATTTAAAACTTTTATAACTTTTTCAAAAAATATTTAACAAAATTAATCTTTATTATGATTTGTAGAAAATTAAATCGTCTTTCACCGTACAAAAAATTATATTTCTTGTCTCATTAGTTTTCTCGCAACAAGCCTCTTTTTAGGCGCTCACCTGAAGATCGCCCAAACGCCTCCGAGCAAGTTAATTAAAACTCCATTAATAATTTTGCGTGCGCGCGCGCGGGTGCGCATTCTAAACAATAATTAAACATAATTCTGCTTAGCGCCGCTCGAAAGTTTTGCCACCCCTTGTGCTCATCCCCTCGCTTAGCACTTGGTGCCGAGCTTTCGCTCGTTGCGTTAAAAGTGCGAATAACACGGCACCGTGTTCAGCATCGTTAATTTCTCCAGGTTGCGCTCAGGTTTTAGTAGATTCAGCTCATTAGTTAATGATTAATTACGATTCGGGCGCGATGATTATGAAGATTTACGCGTAAGCTGGCCGAGACAAAACTTGAATTCACAGACGACAACTTTGCAAACGCGTCACTCACGGGTAAATAATGATGGAGACATTTGGAGGTGCTTGTTTTAAAGATAATTTTATTATGTATCTTCTTATAGTAAATTTATTATTGGGAGGTGTGTTTATGAGAAGAATTAGGCAATAAATAACTTTTTGTGTTTTTGGAAAAATGTTTTTTTGTAGAATTCTTTAAAATTAACTAAAAATTTAATTAAAAAATTATAAAATAATACAAAAAGTAAATTAACCTAATCTCAAATACTCTTGTTACTAACTCTTATTAAAATTTTGGTTTATATTAAATTGTTTTTCAGTTACAAGGTGTTAAAAATCAATAAAACCAAATTTTAAAAATTTCAAAAATATAAATGATTACTAAAACGCTTGTAATTATTGAGTTTTAGTTTATAACATTTAATATAAAGTAGTATTACTTAGTTAATTGACGTATCGTTCTAATAGATTTTAAACTAACTTTCTACCTCTAATAATTTGGGAGTTATAGCTTGTCAAAGTCAAAGTTTAACTTTATTGATATTACTGGTCTGAGCGCGGGTAAATATTAGTGTAATAGTTATACTTTTCATTGGATAACTCGTAAACACTTTGCCCAATAACATATATTTTTGCATAAACAAAATCTTAAATGAAACCAACACTTATTTACATATTAAAATTAATGATTGCTGGGTTAAATTAACTGTAATAAACAATTAAAATAGAATTTTGTAAAAATTTAAAAAGTGATATAAAATTGTTTATAACTTTTGACACAACAATGCAAACATTAAAATTTTTTTGTGATAATATGAAGAATTTAATACTCTATTGACTAGTGAAAGAAAAAATAAAAAATATTAATTAGTTTCTGAGTAATTAAGAAATAATTCCAATTAATCAACGATGATGTTTGCATCGCCACTTCAGACGATTACTTTATATTTATTTTAAGTGCCTGCCATGACAAAACTTTTCTTACAATAATAATTATTATAATATGTGTTGGGAAAGTAATTAAACTTGCTTCTATATAACTTTATAATTAGATTTCTAGTTCCATTATTTTGCAACTTATAAAATGTCAAAGTCAAAGTATTAATTTTCTCTCAGCGTGAAAATAAGTCTAGACCCGAAATAGGTTCGTTTTGTGCAAGAATAGGTCTAGACTTATTAGTCTAGCTGTCATTTGACGACGTGTCATATTTTAGCTCGCCACCAGCAGTGACACTATTTCGCATCCTTCGACTCGCGCTCGTTGGCAGCGCTTTCGCTGCGTGTGCACATTATCTTTTTGTTTGCCTTCGAAACTGTTTATTGCTTCACTTCATTATACCGCCGCTATTTGTATATGTTTACGCGTGTTTTGATACACATTTTAATCTCCTCCTGATGCGAATATATTGTGTTTGCAATAAAAGCCGCGCGCGGCAAACAAATAAAAGCTTTCGGGCGAGCGTGGCGTATTTTTAGCGCCGCGCCCGCTCGGCACTAATCTACCTTCGTTTATTGCTTCATTTACTTCATTTGTGTTTAATTTATATTTAAACTTTGCACTTACGCAAATATTTTGTCGAGAGTTATTTTTGAGCGCCGGGTGCTAATAAAACGCCGCAAGACACGAGCTTTCCACGCTGAAAGCGTGTCGAAGCACCGATTGATTTACGTGGGAATCGACCACGGACAATATGGGCTAGAAGTTGTAAAAGTTTGATGTGTATTAATTAAATAAACAATGAGGTATTGCCAGAAAAACACATATCAGAGGTAAAAAGAAGTTTCGAAACTGTTTTTGTTGAATAACTTTTATGGTATTAAAGATAGAAAGTTGTTTCAAACATATTACAAAAGAATAATTTATTTATAAATAAATACCTTATATTCATATTGAAAATCAATATTATGTAGGGTGTAGTATTAAATTAAAATAATATTGAATTTTTTAATTTAAAAATTTGAAAATATTTTTCAAATTTAATTTAAGACGTAAATAATTGATTATTTAAATATAAATTTTACATAAACAAATAGACTAATAATAATACTATCATTTAAAATTAATATTACATTTATATCTTTAATAGTTAATAAGTTATTAGACTTTAAAGTTGCATATATTTGTTTTCACATTATACAAATTAAACCAGAAACATACATTTTTCAATTGCGTATAATTAATTAACCATGCATGCTACAGTTAAAAACAAAAATTCGAGTGAAAGACAAACATTTTCTCTACCAACTGACTGCAAAACATATTAATTATTAAATAAATACTAAAAACTACAGGGAGTTTAAAACAAAATAAGAAATTAATTCAGTTTTTTGGTTAATTTTTATTTAAACCTACATTAACCTATCAAAAAATAAAAGTTATCTATATTTAAGAAATAGATTATTTAAATAATTAAACGTAATATAAAATGCAATTTAATTGACGTTTGTACCTTCCTTAGTTTAAGAGTTATTAAACGATAAAGTACATTAAGACTCGCACGTTCTCAAATGTTTCATCAAGAGTTTAATTCTCTATAATTAATTAATTACAGCCAATATCACCTGAAAAATAATGTTATATAAAATATAAATAATGTATTTATTAATACACATAAAAACATATTAAATATCTTAAGAATTATATAAGTTACAAACGTTTTAAAACAAAATTCACTTTTTTTTCGTTTTTCAAAATCATTTCTCATTCTGTCTATAAATAAAGCTTTAGATTCAAGTTTAGAATCAAAATCAAACAAATCAATGGTAGGATTAAACAGAAATACATTAAGTCTAATTGTGACGGCGATCATACGACTACAAACTAGAATCAGCAGTAAGACTGAGACGATTAAAAGTATAACAAAACGTAGCGAAGCTTTCCGAGCTTTCAAAGCTTTCGACGCTTTGTGGAGTAAAATCTAGTGAGCTAAAATTAAATATATGCCCGCACGCTTTGGGCCGCCTTCGATGCGCTTCCAACAAAGCTCGCCGCGATGAGAGATTTTTCAGTTTTACGGCACGCGCGACCAAGTCCTAACCTTATTCTCAACGAAACAGTAAAAAGCTCAAAAAAGCTCCCGAAAAGCTCTCAAAAGCTCACATAAAAATTCAATCTCAAACAGACAAATTTATTCATTGTGACTTAAATATAGTGACTTAAGTCTATAATCATCAGTGTTTACGTGGATGTGTGTTCCGTAATAGCTCAGTGGTTGAAATCGATATCGCAGTGAGTTAAGTCGTCGTACGCGTTGTAAAGTGTTGTAACTTAAGACGTCAGAGGTCTGACGTCCTCGAAGTTAATTTTGACTCTCGTGACGTCACCGAAACGAAGCACTGCAAACGCACGTGAAGCTTTCCGGGCTTTCCAGTGCTCCAGTTGAGTGTTCTGTGCAGTATAATGACTTGAAACAGTTTGCGTTTCTTGTGAATTTGACGCAAAGTGAAAAAGTGTGTTGGAGTGGATTGTTTTGATCGAAATGTGCGCGAACGTGATTGTGATTAATAAGCTGTACGGAGGCGGACACAAACAGGATGCACTTTTCCTGCCTCGAGTGTTAAATTAGACGTGGTGTGAAGAACGCGTGGATTCGTTACATTTAGTCAAGGTTGGTAAATTTTTTTGTGATTTTATTATAATTTTTTGCAATAACATAAGAATTTTTAAATAACAAAAGTTTTGTTAAGTGGATTAAATTGGGGATAAAATTGTCTTTTAATCTATGTTTATTGTGTTTTTGTAAAGTAATTAGGCTTTGAGTTATTTTGCGTTAAAATTGAAATTTAGTTCAAAAAATATTTTCATTTTTCTTTATCAATTACAATTTGTCTTGTAACTTTTTAGCTAATAAAGATATTAGATCCAATCAAATGGCTGTTTATAGATATTGTAAATACTTTTAATTGTGTTTTTGTAAAATTTAAATGTCTTTATTAGTTTAAAAGATATTTGAACAAGAATTCAAAATTTCACATTTTGTTAGGTTAATCGAAATTATTTACGTTTTAGTATTTAACGTCAAGACAATCAATGATATCGCAATGAAATAAAGATAATTTTATAGATTAATAAATTATCTCTCCAAATATGTATGCTATATTTATATATCTCTATTAGTTTCTGAGTTATCAAGCTGTAAACTTGGGACTTCAAGACTGACAATTTTAATTTAATCAAATATAATATTGTATTATATTTCAATCGATAACAGCAATAGTAGTTAAGATAAAATTTTAAATTAAAAAGTAGATATAGGTATTTAAATTATCTTTAAATACGTTTTTACAGAAATAAAATATGTTTGCTAGTTTGAGAAATATTTGACTTTAAACTCAAAATTTAAAAAAAAATTAAGTACAAAAAAGTCTATATTTAAAATTAATAATAATAATAATAATAATAGTTATATCATTAATTAATAATTTATTGTTGGAAATGCATAGAAGCTATAATAGTAAAAGCTCCTTTGATGATAATAACCAGGTTCTTTGCAGCAGGAATAAATGTAGTCGGCGAGTGGAAAGTTGCAAAGCTTTGAGCTTTCGAACGTTTCCCCGGCGTTGGTGAGCGCTGCGAAAGCTTTCGAACACTTTCGCAAAGCTTGCCGAACGTATCTCTAACGATTTGAGAGCGCGCCGACTTTTCCAAACATCACCAACTTCAGCCACAGCCGCCGCCATCGCCACCCCCGCGCGCACCATGTGAGTGTGTTTCGTTGTGCTTCGGTTTGATTTCGCTCCACAACAGCCCCTTTGTAACGCGAAACTATTGTGTCGGCGGGGCACAATGCGGCGGCGGAGAATAACCAAAGTGTCGATTGCAACAATTTCGCAAATGCCATTGTTTTCTTCCGGTTACTCGCTTCTACACGGACGCTAACGAGCCCAATCCGACGCTTATAACAAACGAATGAAATGTTTTATACTATAAGCACTAAAATAAAACGTTAGTGTTATTTTTTAAGGGTTTGTCTTTTATTTTTAGTTTTGGAATTATACACAGTCGATGATGAAGTGATTTAAAAATAAATTGCAAGGTTTTATTCAAAGAAATGCCAAACAAAAATGAACAACGTTAGGGAAATTTTTCTTTTAGCAAATTAATTTATATTAAATTACCTTTCCAAAAATGTTTTATCAAACAATAAATAAAATTAATTAACGCAGTTATAAACGTTTAAAAACAGGTCTTATTCAACGAACTTTGCAATCACATTTTCTTAGAAATTTCAAATTTTAACCTTAAATTACTAAGATTCTATAATAATAAGTAATTAATTTTTAAATAATTTATATAACTGTTTATTTACTTTATAATCTGAAGTAAAAATTGTTAAGCTATCTTTAATAGTTTTGACGTTATCACGATTTTTATAAATTAACGATTTCCAAAAATACTTTTTTGCTTTCACCTCCATAGAGTCTAAAAGAAAAAGTTCACATTATTAATCTTTAGCATAATAATTTAGTAATAAATTCTCTATCTAATGATACTCTTATCAGTTTCTAATCATTAAAACTGGTCGAGTTATTTACTCCTAAACTTGCACTTTTATTCTGAAAATAAATATTAAAAATGATTTTGTTCATTAAAACCTAATTATTTCGTAAAATAGTGATTAAAAATTTATCAAAATTTCATTTTAAATAGATATTAATATCAGGAATAAATTTCACTTTAAGTTTGGCAAATCGATAAATATTTCCAACTTTTACAGCTTTCCAAAGTTGACGTCACAATTTTTGTGCACATTGATCCACATTTCGTGTGTGCAGAATGCTGAAATTATATGCGTCGAGGTTGTGGAGCGCAAAATGCACTCACTTTCAGTTCGTGCACGTTCTACGTTAATGAAAGAGCGACTTAATTAAACCCGGCGTGTAATCGGCGAGCTTTAGCGCTTGCTCCCGCTTTTGATTAAATTGAATAAATCTTGAAAAATACGCCGCATAACAACGAACACGCGTAATTGGCACGTAAGTTCTTGATTGCGTTCAATATCATGATTATACTCACTACTTGTGATATCAATATCAGCAATTTAATTTTTCTGAGCGTTAATAAAATATTTCCGTACAATTTCTCTGAATTACGAATGCACATAACTTGCATTCCGGATGCAACATGCAAAAGGCGTGCATCGCACCAGGTTAAGCTCGACTTCGACCCCGCATGCCGGCTGTGTTGCTTGGGTTTTATTCAAATCTCGTTTTATATATCTGTAAACTTCTTTCTTAGAGAGTTACATTCAGATACACGCAGGAAAACGTGAATAAATCAAATATACGAAGAAATTTTGTTCATTTTAGCAAATTTACCATTTCCAAGCGTTTCTCGGCGTCTTACATATCTTACAATTCTTAAAAAGCTCAACTTTATTCCAATATTCACAATATTCACGTTTTGTCACTTTCCGCTTTCCTCATAACGTTATTTTCTTATTTCACTTTTTTTGTATCACAAGTATTGTGAAGAAGAGTTATATGAGATAGTTTTTTGTTAATAACTTTTATAGTTTTTAAGGTAGAATATTGATTTTACTCAAATATGATTTGTATAAAATTCTGCGTGTAATTGTGTAAAAAATGTTAGTGAGAGTTACCCAAAAAAAGTTATTAACAATTCAAATTTGATTTTGAGAAGAAATTTTACTTTTTGCAAATCTGCCCATAACCTTTGATAAAACGTATTTGTCAACAAAGTATTTATGCATTTGTATAGAAAATTTAATATTCTTTGATATACTGAAAGAAAAATTGAGACAAGTTTATTAGTTTTTGTTTAATTCACTAATACATAAACATTTATCCATTTTGATAGTGAAAAGTTAGTTAGCCAATTGTATTATTTATTTAATTAATAATTAATAGAATTTAAGTTATATTATCAACAAAAATTGTTTTAAAATTAAATTCTACATTAAATTTATCAAATATTTTTATTAATAAATAATTATGTAAAAAATTAAAGAAATTTTTACGAAAATTAACTGAAAATGTACAAAATTGAATAAAATTGATCTAAAACATGTGATAAAAAATTATTTTAAAATAACTAAATTCATAATATGATACAGAATTAAATATCTTATAGATTTATGAAAAAATCAAACTTCTAGCGTTATTAGTTTTAAAGTAATTATTGAAAAACTTATAGAATAAAAATTGCATTTCTGCGTCAAGTAAGATCTCAGCAACTATATTCTTTCTTGTCGAACATATATAGTATATATACGATGGAGCTTTCTACTGAAAGTTGAATCTCCTTAGTTTTCAATACTTTCAAACTCTCAATGCGGAATTTAGCTCACCCCCCGACGGCGGCAAATCCGAGGGATTTTTATTGCCGCACGGAACATGTTCGGAAAGCAGTACGAACTTTGGCTTCGGCTACAATCTTCTCCATATTACTTTTTAGGTTAGGTTGCTACACGACTTTTACAAGTCGCAACAGCCGAGACATTGGCTTTCTTTCAGGATGTTTCTATAAGTTCATCTAAAAATTACGTGTGAATTTTTTATGTTTCAATCATGATTTTCAACTTTTTTTAAAAATTGCAAATGTTTATTTTATGAGACAATAACTCAGGTGTTTGAGAAGTTAGAATACTGATAAACATATCATTTTAAAGCAAATTTATTAAAGATTAAATTTATTAAAATTAATTTTTTAAATATTTATTAATTTTCTGTGAAAACTCAAAAAATAATTTTTTTCCAATTTTTTTTTTACATTCTGTTTCTTTTGTTTCAGATTTATTTCTATTTTAAATTATTTAAGAAAATGCAGAGAAACCTAAGACGTTATCGATACAATTTTGGCAAAAAGTCTTCCATCAAGAAGAAGTCGACGAGGAGAGCAAACCGCACAGCCAACTCAGCACCGCAGAAATCATTTCGAAGGAACTGATCCTTCTCAAGGATGGAGCGAACACGCTCGTTTCGCCGCCGTCGGCGTCCCGAGAAGCCGCTCGGGACAAAAATCAAGGACTGCATACGGAATTTCGTCGCGTTCATGTTCTCCAATGTTGGCATCATCGGACTTGTGGTATGCAAAACAAAAAATTAAACTTTTAGAAAACAGGAAATATTTTAAGGTTATGTAAGGTTTAGAATAGAAAATTATATATCATTTTAAAGGTAATTAAATTTTCTATCAGTTCAGAGTAATTTGCATATGTAATTAAAAAGATACAGGGTGTTAAAGTTGCACATATTGCAAAATAATCAATTTTTTAGAATTTTTTTTTAAAATTCTACTTTAAAATGGCTTTTAAATTGTTTATTAAATAAATAACTACATAAATAAATAAAATTAATAATTAAAAACCATAATTTAATAATTTCAGGTAGGTTATGCAATAGCTGGAAGTTTTATCTTCATGGAAATCGAAGGAAATGCTGTGAAAGAACACAGCGTTGAAATGGTGAAAAACCGAGAACAAACCGCCGAAAAATTCTGGAACCTAACCTGTACTACAAACATTTTTGACGAAAAAGCATGGCGCTCAAATGCGTCGGCCATTTTGTTAATTTATCAACAATTCACAGTGGATGCAATTAAGTAAACACAATATTTACAAATTATTCCAACATTTTTACTTATTTTATTAATATTTATCCACAGAAATGGTTATGATGGTAGCGATGACAAAGACTACTCAAAACAATGGAGCTTTTCCGGAGCTTTCCTCTACTCTCTCACAGTCATCACAACAATCGGTGAGTTTTTAATTCAATACTCAATATTATAACAACTGTAATCAATTTATAACCAAATTCGGGCGCAAACTAAATTGGGAATTGTTTTAATGAGTTGTGGGGAATGTTTTGTAGTGAATGCAGCCGCCCCTCGTATTGAAACAGGGGTTGACCGCGTTTTATTGTTAGGTTTTCGCGCGATATTTGTGCGTTTACATTCATTTCGTGCGATTTTGCGCAAACAATAGCGAAAAACGAGCGGCGGACGCCAGGGCGATAATAAATTGATTGCGTGCGCACGACCGATCGTTTTGTTTTGTTGCTTGATTGTCGACAAATTTACATTTTTCGATGCGGGATTATGCAGCGCATGGATGACGGATTTATTTGCAGCGGATTTTAAAACTATTGCTTTTCAATGCGTTTTAAAGCAATTTATTCAAAAATTCGTGCGTGTTGTGATACATTGTTGAATTCGAAATTTTATTGACTATTAATTAACGTATTGGTGGACTTATTTTGTTAATTCATTAAAAAGTTATCAAGTTTTTAGTGAAAATTTGTTTTTTGAGTATTTTAATGACAAAAATTAGTTTAGCATTAATTTAAACGTATAAATAATTGTAAAATTATTAAATAAATAAAGTTAGGGGATAAACAATTTAATTGTTTATAATATAAAAATTATTTCTTTACATTTGGAGTATCAGAAAAAAGGTTATAACAATTTTAGTAAAATAAAGCAATATTTTTCGGAAATCCTGAAAAATATATGCAAAACCAATTTTCAACTAATATAATTATTGAAGTTTATATTTTAAAATAATTTTTTATGCACCAAATGAAAGATAATTTAATTTTCTATTCAAATAATTTTAAAGATTTAAAAGCAAGCAAATAACTAAAAAGTTATTACCCATTTTGTAAAATTTGTTATTTTTACATAAAAATTTTGATTTAAATTTTCAAAGTTGAATATAATCTATAAAAAATAAAATATTTAACAAAATATATACATTTTTAGAAAGCATATTAAGTAAACTATAATCTAAATTTTAATTGAAGTGTCTATCTCTAAAGCATAATTTTTTATAAGCAATTTTCTTCGAACAAAATTTTTTTCTCTACGAAATTTTTTCTATCCCAATATTAACATAATTTTTTATGGCCAATTTTCCAAACTGCACCATCATTTCGGTTTGAAACACAGTTTCAACATCCTAGCATGCTTACCGCATCGCGCTAAGGACAATCGAGTAAATTGCGTTTTTATAGCGCGTCTCTCCGAGTGATGAATCGTCGCGTCGCAGGAAAGACGCAACATTTTCCACTCCGCGCAAACGTCCTTCGTCCTTTATCCTTTATCCTTCAACCTTCATTTACCACCCGTTACCGTTGTTTCTGCCATTTCACTCAAAACAAACACACAACTTTTTTATTTTTATTATCCTCTCAGTATTTTTTCCACGTACAACCAAACTTTGGATTCATTTCATTACGCTTTAGTTTTAGTTACAAGAATAACAAACACAAAAACGTTATCCCCAATTGTTAATCCTTTTTTTTTTGTTTGGTTGCGTATTTTTGTTTCTCACTTACTTCTTGGCATTGTTTTGCGAAATTTTTGGATTTTATTTATTGGCTAACAAATCTCGCGCCCAGCGAAACGTGCATAACGTTCAACCCTCTCTAAGGATGAGGACAAACGCGGGGGTGGTCAAAACATACTGCCGGAGATAAATAACACAAAGGACTCGACGGCAAACGCACATACATACAAAAATACAAAAAAAAAGTCGAGTAATTTTTTGTCGCATTGTCTTTCGTCCTTTTGTCTCTTGTCCTTCATTCGTTCAACAATTATACAATAGATTAATATTTTTTATGCGCGTTAATTTTATACGTTTTTTTAAATATTAATGTATTTGAGTCTGGTGCGCATGCGCGTCGAATAATAACGTAATGCACATGGATAATGCCTCGCAGGACCACAGCGCTGTGACTATTACGGGCACTATACAAAGTTGAATAATTCAATTATTTTAAGTGCACTTTAAATTCGACTCGTTTCCATTTGCCGAGCTTGTCGCGAGATAGTCGTGCCTCGAGCAGCCGGAAAACCGTTGCTAAAGTGTCGCCGATGTCCTTTATCCTTCGACGCGGCGCTCATTAAAGTTATTACGGGCGCGGAGAACATTTTTTTGTATTTTATTACTTTATTGTACTTTTAAAGTACAAAGTATTTATAATTTTAAAAGAAATATTTTTAAGTTAAAAAAATATTGCGCATGCGCAAAAATATTTCCTGTCCATATTTCATTAAAATCAATGTTTATCCCACAAATACCGTATATTTATTAAATGTTGTGTAATCACGATACATTTCACTTGTCCAATTTGTAATTTCGTATTTTGTATTTTGTATTTTGCATTCTACATTTCACATTTTGCGTTTGGCGTTTGGTGCGTTTGTTTGTTTTCCCCGGATGGGAAAAGCGTTGCTCATTCGGCTCGTTGTTCCGCACCGGATTATTTTGTTATTTCGCAACGCGTGTTTTTATTGCTTTGGAAATCACTTGTAAGCGTTTACAGGTTGCGAATTTATGAACTTCGCCGTCGCCCCCGGGAATAAAGTCGCGGAAATTATGCGATATTTTGATGGGCTGTAAATCATCATCGAATATTGGATACAATAGTATTAGATTCAAAATGATTTTATCAAGTTTTTATAAATTTTATTATTTGTGGATAATTAAAATATCTAGAAAGTTGAGTGCAAATTTTTGGATAAAAAATTAATTTTTTTGAATTATTTTAGAAAATTTGTAAACATTTTTATTTCTTTGATATTTTCTAAAGCATTTGTAAATGAAAATCATTATTAATTTGTAGTTAAAAAGAAATAACAGCAAATAATTCATTTCTAAAGAATTTATTTCAAGATAATTTAATTTTGTGCTGTAAACATCAAAGAATGTGCAATAATTTAATTTTACTTCTGAAGAAAAATCTGTTTTTATTTATTAAATCAAAAATGTTTCATTAAACTGCATAAATATATCAAACAATTGTTCTATTGTAAATTAAACGTTATTTTTTAATACAAAATTAAATTGTTTTCAAAAGGTTTAAAGCATTATTCTAATAAAACAAACAAATTTTTTGTTTTTTGTCTTGCATTTAAAAATATTAAGTAAATTACTGCACAAAATGCAGTTATTATGACCAGTGTGTAGTCCAAATAATGTAGTTTAATGTTATTTAATTAAATTAATTTAATACGTAGCCGCCATACAAATGAATCTGATTCCCTGAACGCCAGCGCCAACTTTTATTGCCTCGCAAAGCATGCATCCTGTTTTCTCCGCTGCTCGCGTTTCAGCCCCGCGGTGAGTTCATTTCATATTTTACGCTTCCGTTTATTAATTAAACTTTACCTTCCATGCCCAATGTTCAACGTCCAGCGCAAACAACAAACAACGCACACGCCGATTTTAAAGGGCAACATTTTTCGGGTCACCGCACACTCGCGCACAAACGTACGCATTCATACAAATGAAAATAAAATGAAATATTTTCCCTTTACTACTCTTTGGTATATATAGGTATATAAAATATAATATTGAGTTGAGTGGCGATAAAAAATCAGCGTGGAAATATCAACGTAGTGTGTGAACGTAGATGAAAGTTGAAACAATGTATTGGTGGCTGTTGGAGGATGATAAACGGAGGAAAACGGTGCGAAATTGTGGGAAATGTGACAGGCGAAAGACGTTCATGAACTTGGTGTGACGATGTGGAGGCGCCGGGCGCGGTATCACCGACCATCATTCATGTCTCTTTGTGTGACACCCACCGCTCAGGACAACGGGTGAGGATGGTTTGGAGATGTGGCGAGCTTTTTACTCAAGGACTTTTCAATAATGAGGGAAAATAGAGGACTAAGATGAATTTATTTGATAATAATTGATAATAAGTAAGAAAATTTTTATTCAAAAAAGGTTAGAGAGTAGTTTGTTAATTTTTTAAACAAAACTAATTTTTTAAAAGTATTTCTAAAATTTTTGTTTTAGCTTTTGATTTTCTGACTTTAAGGTCATTTAAAGGGCATTTATTTATTAATTGTGACTCTATTGATTGATGAAATTTATAGATAATTTAATTATTTATTAATTAAATGTTTTGTTTTTTAATTAACTTTATTTGTGTACAAGTTACACGTATTTTAATTCTAAATATTTAAATTTTAAATTTAAAAATATTTCTTCATTTTCAAACTCATTTATTTAACAAATGCGTACATTTTTTATTATTATGTTTTATATTGTGGTACAGAACATTTAATTGGCAATCAGCGAGTTTTTATATCTTGACCATATCCCTATTGGTTTTCTCCCCATCGCAATTTGAATGAAATTGAATTTTTTACCAAAATTTTTTCGCCTTTTTTTAGGAGCAAAATTTATTAAATTCCCACTGATAGCTAGTAATTCGGGTCGATTTGGAGCAATTTTTGGCAATCGCATTCCAGCCAGTTGCGAAAGCTATCGGCGGTCGGTATCACGAGCGCAATCGATTCGTTTACCGGTTCATTGCCTCGCGCATTTCCTGCTTTTTTGCTGATATTTCTCCGGTGGCGCAGTTTGCGCGCTGATTCCATTTCGTAGATCGGTTTGTGCTCTTCCGGCCGTGCGAAGTGTTTGCCGGGCTTAATTTTATTATTTTGGCGGAGAAAATTAGATTCGTTGCGATTGCATTTGCTACAATCAACAAAAATCTAAAAAAACAACAGCGAATATAATTAGATGGGTTTCAAACAAAATTTAATGTTTTAAAATTATTTATAAAGGTCTTTTTGTTATTAAAACATAATATTAATATTTTATTGAATATTTATTTTAATAAATTTTTACAAATTTAAAATTTTTTTAATAAGAAAAATGAATTTTAACGTTTTTCAACTTTTATATCCTCCCAGCATTTACTCAAACATCCAAAGTCATTTGACGTTTACTTAGAGGTAAATAAAAATAAATCGCGCTCCAGTTCGCGATAAAAAACGATCGGCCAGCAGGTAAACGAAACGGTAAATTAACCGCTCGAAGGAATTTTACGGTTTATCGAGTTTGTTTTATTAGCCGGCTCGCGCGCACAACCCTCGTCTCGCATTCGCGGGGAAAGGATGCCGACAGGATGTTTGTCGAGTCGTTACGAGTGCGCCGCGCGCGCGCATCAAGGAAGAAATAAAAAAAAAGTCATGGAAAAGCAGCAACTGCGAATGCATATGTATCGCAGCAGTTAAACGAGCAGGGCTCATAAAAGTCCACACGGCGATCGTAAAAGCGTAGATGCAAAGATTTGAAAAAAGGGGCTCAACATGAGAGGGATGATGATTTCGAGCGCATCTTTAGATGATATGGTATATTTGAGTTTGAGCGTTTTATGCGTTTTATATTTACATTTACATTCGTTTATAGAGTGGGATTTATGGCTGTTGACTAGTTTTGAGTTTTCAGTATCAAATTGACAATTTTGAAGGATTTAAGAAGAGAATTTAGTTTTTTGCTTGAAAAACTTATTAAAGGATATTAAATTGTACATTTTCTAGTTGTTTCAAGTTAGTTTATGTAGTATATATAAATTTTTTATAAATAATTCAAATAATAATTTCATCAAAATTAGTTTTATGAATTACTCGTATAACGTTGAATTTCTTATTTTTAAACAAGAAAAAATAATACTGCGTAACATTACCTACAAAAAATTATAGTATCAATTGAAAAAGTCACTAAATAAAATGTTTTAAATAATATTTTATGTTTTATTAATAAATTAATAGATAAATCAAGAAAATTCAAAGTTTTCTCTCCAAAAATTCATTTTCACCTTAAAAAATTAAAATTTAATTGAAAATATAAATTATTTTTTAAATGTATGATTGTTTTTTAATAACAAATAATTGGTCTATTGTGTAAAATTAAAAAATCGTTAAAATTTTTACTCATTACAAAATTATAGCTTAATAAACATCTACAAATTTTAAAGTTACATTTATTTATTTCCTGGTTAGAATTAAAATTTATCATTGTTGTAAATTACAAGTTAAAGCTAATTTTACTATCTTCCTTTTTCCGTAATTACAACCCTTTTATCATTATCCCTTTGGGAATAAAAAGCTATAAAGTGCAGAAGTCAAAGCAAGAAAACAATTAAACTGATCGTAAATGTCACTTGTGGTGATCACGATCGTAAAAACTGCTTTAAACATTAATCTTCTACAAGGACAATATGTTTCTATCCTATTTTATTGTTATAAATTAGTTATAGTAATAGTTATTGTTATAAAGTAGATAAATATCAATCATTTAAAAAACGGATTAATTATTTTTTATTCGAAATTAAATTTTTAAAACTTTAACAAATCTCAAAAGTCTTTTAGCTTTGAAATATTTTACAATTCCAGGATATCCTGCAAAAGGTTTAAAAGCGGTCTGGATTGTCCTGCACGTTCCTGTCGACGCCTGGCTGGTTGTACACGTACGCCGGATGCGATTAATTAACCCAGATGACCTTTTATCCTTTTTCCTGCTTTTCCTTTTCATCGCAACAAAAAACAAAAATGACAATAATAATAATAATAATAACTATTTCATATCTAATAATACATCAAATTACTTAATCTATATACAGAATTTCCATTTAATGATTAATTTGTGTAATATTTAAATATGTTGATATTTGTTGGAGATTAAAATGCGGGCTGGCGGTTGAGTGCCCCGTTGCGATTTCAATTAGGCATTTTCCTTGTGGCGCGTGCTCCAGCCTTACAATGCAACCCTTTACAATTTCTACTGCGGGTGCCAAGTGGGGTGAGGAGTGTGTACGAGCACGAAATTACAAATTAGAAATTACGCGCGTTCGAGTTGTTTAGAGCACAAGGACTCGTAACATGTTCACATCCTTGCTTCGTCCTTGATCGGTTGGTTGCCGCAAACACGGCAAACATTGTTACGCATGACTTCAAGCTCATGTAAGGGGGTGGCAATCAAGCGGTTGTAGCGCATGTACAAACGTCAATGAAACAAAACATTTAAATGTTAAATCCTTAATCAGGATCAAAACTTTTAATCTAATTAAATTAATTTTAAGAAATTTTTTGATTGAATTATATTGTTGAGATAGTGTGGAGGCGCCGGGTTATATACTAAAATTCATTTATTTCAATTTACAGGTTATGGAAACATAGTTCCAAAGACATTCTGGGGTAAAATAGCAACAATAATCTACGCAATAATAGGAATGCCTTTATTCCTACTTTACCTGTCAAATATCGGCGATATTATGGCGCGGTCCTTCAAATGGCTCTACGCTACATGCTACCTGTGCAAAGGATGTCCCAACGTGTCGAAACGACGCGCCGAGCGTCGACAATCACGCCGCAGGATGGAAGAATATGAAATGGAAGAATATCCTGATAATCCTGTAAAGTACGACGAAGGACACAGATATTACGTAAATAGTCCTGAACAGGTAATACACTTAAACAGATTTTACGCGTTTAATTTCTCTGTTTTGTGCTGTCAGGATATTAATGACATCCTGTGATTCTGTTATTTCGTTACACTGAAAAGTGTAAAGTCTGTAATGTCAATTTTGGAGCGGGTGTACGTGCCGCGGCGTAACCACCTCGCAGCCATATTTGCATGATTTCGTCATTTTGTGATTCGTGGGCGTACAGGACGAACAGGACGTGTTGACGTACATGCGCGCGGATAACTGCTGTGCTGGCAGTCGGTCGTCACTCAAAGTTGTAAAAAATTCAAATAATTTTGATTTTAATTTATGTTTTTGTGAAATTTTATGTTACAAAAGTTTAAATTTTAGTTTTTAATCGTAACTAAATTTAAAAAATTTAAAAATAATGTTTTGTTGGTGAAAACTGTATAAACATTTAAATTTTTTAATTTTTTTCCAGGAATTTAATAGAATAAGAAGAGAAAATTTCCGGACTCCTGAAAAAATGTCCTTGAGCAGTGAAGGTGACTCGGAGGAATCTTTTGACAGTCAAACTATTACTGTACCAATAACAATTTGTTTGACAATGATGGTGGGGTACGTATGTTTTGATTTACATGTTTTTTTAATTTTTCCACTTTTTTTCTCAAAAAATTAAAAAAAATTTCAAAAATGTTGACAGAAAACAGAAAAATGAATTTTATTTACACTAAAACAAAGTTTAAATATTTTTCATCAAACGTATTTTATTTTTAAAATTTTATCTTTTAGATATGTATTGGGAGGAGCTTTGTTGTTTGGTAAATACGAAAGCTGGGACGTGCTAAACGGCTCATACTTTTGTTTCATCTCGTTGTCAACAATCGGATTTGGGGATCTGGTGCCCGGCGACAAGATCTACTCGTCATCGGAGGGATTTGACATCGAGTTGAGTTTCATCTTTTGCTCAATGTACCTCATGCTCGGCATGGCGCTCATTGCGATGTGTTTCAACCTTATGCAAGAGGAAGTCATACACAAATTTCGCACTACCGTCAGTACATTAAAATATATCTGTAATTGCAAAAAGAAACGTCGACGAGATTACAGCATTGAAATGTAAAACATTTTTTGCAAAAAACAGTTAAAAAGTGTAAAAAATAAAATTATAGTGCTACAAATATAAAAAAAGACATTTAAGTATACTTTTTAAAAGTAATAATAAATATTTATAATATGTTGTTAAAATCTGTTTTAAACTAAGTTTTAAAAGTTGTTAAATGTTTGCAATCGAGCATATTAATTAAAAAATGTGTAAAAAAATGTAAAAAATAATCTATGCTCAATTGCACTTAAATAAACGAGTGATAAAGTAATAAATTAATAAATTAAACAATAAATAATTAATAAATAAAAAACCAGCGTTGAATAAACTGCCAAATATTTACAATAACAGAATTAACTCGAAACAAAACAAAAGTTAAACTGAAAAGTGCAAAGCTCAACATAAAACATTTAAACAAATCACTAATTAAAATGTCTGTAAACCTTTTAATGAATTGTTACTATCAATATCGAGCATTTGAATACAGCGATAATTAGCAAAATTTGTTGAATATGCGCGCCAGGAACAAAATTAAACTCGTGTATAATGTGAAATGCCATCAGTTTAATACCGAATACAAAATGTCAAATGTCAATTGAATAATTAACATTTTGAGGCGGTGGATTTTGTATGTCAAATCTTTGTTTTTGGATGAATAAAATTTAATTGAAATATTGCTGAATGCGGAAATATTTTCAGAATGTTCTGTGTGAAGTGTCGATGTTTAATTATCTGCTATTAATTATGAATAATATTAAATGAATACGTAGCATATTAGCCTGTTTAAATTAATTTGTTTCATAGTGATATAAAGGAATAAGGGAGATTAATTTAATAAATTCGGTTTTGTTTACAATTTGATGAATTATAAGAGAAGCAAAAATGATAGAAAATTGAATTAAGCATTGAAGGATACGCAATTAAATTCTCTATATATTACATTTTATTTTATTTTAATTGAGTTAATATTTTTGGAGTTATTCAGCAGTAAAATCAAAATTTTTAATTTTTTAATTTTTTTACAATTTTTTTACATTTTTCATTATAAGAACAAAACGCATCATTAAAATTTTATTTTTTGGACAAAATCTAACAAAGAATTAAATTACCTATCAAACGCATTTTACAAAACACAAATATTCCAATTAGTTTTTGTTTAATAAAGCAACAAACTCAAAACTTACATCAGTAACATGCAATTATTAAAATTTTAATTCCAGCAAAGTTATTCCACATCTGAGTTGAGTTCAGTGTTTTAGCTTTAGTAATAATGCGGTTGGCGGGTTATTCTCGTGCCCTCTTCACACTCTTCTTGTGCTTTTCTTGTACGCGAGCTTTTGGCGCGTCTTTTCCACTCGTCGGCTCCCGTCGAAAGTTTGCGCAGCTCGCACACCTCACGCTTTTATGACGCATGCATGGAAATTACTCAATTATAATAATAGCAGCGCACCGCAGCTCGCACAGGCGTCAAAACCAGCAAAACCCACTCTTCACCAAAAATTTCCTAATACAGCAACACGTGTAGAGGAATATAGGAGTTGAAATGGTGGACAAGGATGAGAGCTTTTGAAATTTGAAAATTCAGCAGACAGTTTCTTGCTTCTTCGTGTGAAGGCTGTTGCTGGGGGTGGGTAAAGGTGGGGAATGTTCTTATTTTGAATTTTGAGTGTTTTGAGTAACGGGTCACAGGTGAAACCGTTTTGTATGCATGCGAGCACGATAGTTTTATAAATATTAACAAAACACGGCGCCTCCACCAACGTGAGTTAATTTAAATTATATTTGCGTTCAGCTGCTTTTCATATGAATTACATGAAAAGTAAAAGAGTTATGAATATGGTTTTTTGTATAATAATACCAAATATTGTTTTTTATTCAAATTAAAACATATTATATAAAATATTAAAATTTTACTTTCTGTAAAGTCAAAAAAATATTTTTTTGAAGAATATGATATTTTTGAATCTAATTATTAATGCTCAGTTAATTAAACGGAACTTGTTGCTGTTTCCGCTTGAATTGCATCCCCTGACCACATTTAACACCCCTTCACACACACCTACGCATATCCAACATTACCACATTCAACCACATTTACCCCTCTTTTCCTCCCATACATTATTTCTATTTTGGTCTTGTTTTAGTCCAACGTTGGTGGAACATTGCGCCCCGTTGGCAATTTGTTGACCTGGCAACGCCCGATGAAATTAAAGCTTCTGGCGTGGCCGCAACTCAAAAATAACGGTAATGATGATGCAGTAGATCAAATATCGTCGGCGCCTCGTGGAAAATTAAGCTAGCACAAACGTGCGGAGGCGTCGGGCAGCATGCGTCCGGCGAAAATGCAATTTTCCGCGTTAATGCATATCAAAGAATAATTAGCGCCACGCGCGTTTATTGTGCAAATATCATCAAATCATCACGAATACTGGTTACATAGTCAAAGGTTATTGGCATAGAGGATGATTGGGTTGAAAGCGAAAATTGTAGTGATTTATGTTTCACAGGTAATTTAAAGGAATAGATTTTATAAATAAAAAGGAAAAAAATGTTATAATCTTTAGAAGTAATTATATTTTATTTGTAATAATTTTTTGTTTTGAATTTAGTCAAAAAGTTTAGAAATTATGAAAGAAAATGGATTTTTAAAAAATTTTTCAAAATTTGCCACAAAATAATTATTAATAAATTAATTTTAAATAATATTTCGACGTATTTCTAAATATTATTTATTATTAAATGAAATAAACATTTTTTTAAATTTTGCTATTTTTAAAAATAAAATTACTAAATATATGAAATCAAATTAAAAAATATATTTTTTGGTATTATTTTAAAAATTGGTTGGGAAATATTAAAGTTGTAGTTTCAGAAGAATTGCCAATGAAAGTTAATATCAAAATTTCCGGAATTTGCAATAATTAAAATTGATCCAAGGATTTCCAATAATTCTGCCAATTTTAATACGTTCACCATTGATACTCGCAGAATATATGAAATATAAAATTCCTGCGCCGTCGCCCTGGGCATCAGCATCAACTTCATCCTGCTAACCGACATCATCCAGCAGGTTCTGCCATTCCCGCTGCGCGTTGCTTGCGTCGACGCCTGCATACCGCGCACGAACGCCGCCGAGTTCAGTCAGTCGATGTCTAGAAGTCCTCGCAGGACGTACGTGTGCTTTTCGTGCTTTTTGACTCTGTGTAGAACCGTCGTGCAAGGACTATCAGATTTACATATTCTGATTCTCGCCGAATTCGCGTGCTAAACTGATTTAGTAATTTTAAAATAAAATTGATAATAATATTGTGTCTGTGGATTATTTTAAAATTTGTGATTTTGTGTAAAATTAGTGTTTAACTTTGAAAAAGTGAAAAAACTGAAGAAAAAAGTTTTCAACAAGGATTTTCATCAGTTAAACAACGCCAGGATAATTATCAAAGGTAAGTTTTTAAGATTATAATATTTTTTACAAAATTTCAAAAATTAAAAATAAAAAAATGAACAAAAATTATGTTAAAATGAGCAAAATAATATTTAGTACGAAAAGTTTGAGGTGAGTAGAATGCAAACGTTTAAAAACAAATATACTACACAACGGTAATGACCGATAGTCTAAAAACTGTTGGGAGCGGCTGCAATAGCGGTTTGCAGGATATCTATGCACGATTGTGGAGGCGTCGGGCAAACAACGCTTGAATAGCCGGAAGCATAACGACCAATGAGTAATTGCTCTACTATTATATCTACAACTAGAAATATAACTTCAAACAAAACATCAAGCAATTTGTTTTAATCAAATCTTGAAACACAAAAAACTAAAAATTAAAAAACTTATTTCTCAGCACGATATATAATCTTTGTGTTTAAAATTCTAGTTTTTTACATTTAGTCGTTCAAAGCCATCAATTACATTTGGCTTGTATCCTTTTTGCATTGTGCTTTAGGTTATCCTTGCGCCATTGTTCCTCGCATCCTTTTGCGCGCCTGCGGGCAGGAGGCGAAGCGTTTTACATATTTTTTTCAACGTCACACCGCGCGGCTTTTTTCCTCGTTCAGTCATCAGTCGCGCTATCGCGTCGCGCCTCCCTTCCGGCGGTCGGCTCACACAAGGATAACAAGGATAACGAGCCGAGACGAAGCGGCTAAGAATCAAAAACCATGCGAACGGTAGCCAAAAGTAGCAACTACCTAAAAAATTAAGATATAAAATATCGCTTAAGGATTTTTTACCTTTTTTGTCATTTAACAAAAAATTTAAGATAAAACTAAAAACAGAAAAGTAAAATATTTAAAACTTAACATTTAAGTTTACATAATACAGAATCTACCTTGAAATATTTATCCTTGATTGTAATTATGCTTAAAATCAATAGAAGCTTTTAAGTTTACAGTTCGATTACTTTCGACTGCATTCACAATTAAACTCTGCGGTTTTAACGCGTTTGTTTAATGAACGTGGCGTCCATTATCCTAGTGGCGCATGGAATTGCCAGGATAACAATCCTCAAGGCTTCATAACAGGCGTAACAAGCGCCCGGGTGAAACGTAAGTTCATATAATAGTTACGAGAACTGTTTGGAGTGGTTTGGGAAACGGTTATTCTCGGTGCAAACAGGACCAACAGAACCTGCAGGACGAAACGATCAAATTGAACAAAGCAACTTGCTCGAATAGGTAATATCCAACTGGAAACCTTGCTTCAAACCAAGTCTATTATTGAAATTGTCCTGGGAACGAACTTTTTAAGAAGTATTTTTAAGAAATTGACTTAAAATAATAAAAATATAAATTTAATGAGACATTTATAATGTTAAGTCTTTATTTTTGTCTTTTTTGCCTTTTTTGTTCCTTCTAGGATGTAGTTTTAGATCTTGTGCAAAGTTCCACGCCTTCAATTTCTTTAATTGGTTTATAATTGCTTTTCTATTGCTGCGAGTTCGAAGGGGATGACTTCTTAGCGTGTCCTTAAAGTCCTTAGTCCTTAGTGTTTTCAATTAGTATAAGTTCTCGGCCTTTCTCGCTGTTGCGAACGCTAATTGGCTATAAATTTTAATAATCGTTGACGAAGTTTTTCTCGCGTAGGAAATAAAAAAACAGCTAGAATTGCCAGGACTTCATTTCGTCCTTGGGAAAGTTGTGAAATAAACATTTGGCGAATGCATAAAAATTCAATTTAAACTTTTTGGGAAATGAGTTTTTTTTCTAAATCCAAATGTTGAAACTAAAATAATTAGAATTCAAATGAAAAAATTAATTTTCCGACTCATAATTTAAAGAAAAATTCACAAAATACATTTTTATTATATTTTTTGAAAATAATCAATAATTTAAAATATTTTAAAGTAATAAATTTAAAATTTAAAAAAATATTTTTTTCCTTGGCGTGAAAATTTCCATCTAATGAGCGATAGGACCATTATCTCAAGAACCCTGCAGACCAAAGAGCACTGAATAGACGCGATGTGTCTGTTGGTGCACGAGATGATGGACAAGAGTGGTGCAGGGTCGTCGGATTGAAGCGAAGGTGAGATAGTGGATGCGCCGGGCTGAAGCCGCACTGAAGTGATGCTTCTAGGCGACGTGCCACGCGCGGCGTTCACGGCCATGTTACTATGTGTCATAAAGTCCTCCAAGCCTTGAGTCCTTACACTTGAGCGTGACGTACGCCACGCG